CAAGAGCAGAACTGTGCACGTGTGGTTATGTCAGTGTTCACAGTTCCACGCCCCCGTCAGCCTCGCACGGAACTCCTGAGTCATCACACGCAAACGCACTCGGTCATCCTTCCAAGTCCATCCAGGAAGCCTCCCCCAGCACAGCTCCGACCCTCTCCTTCCAGTTCACACCGTGCTTCATACACACCTCTCATAACCGCACTTAGCAGACTGTACCTCCATTAACTGCTCCTGTGCCTGAAGCCACCACGTGGGGGCCTGGAGCATTCTCAGAGCATAACTGTCCAAGGCCACTTCGAAGTCCCCACAGTGTCGCCGCGGCCGTGCTCCCAGTCAGTGACAGAGTGCGCTGGGGATCCTAAGGCAGACCCACCTTGGGGAGGCCTGGGACTCCTCTCCAGGAAGACTTGGCCGGACGCTGAAGCCTGAAGCCTGGGCTCCTCTAGGCAACCTCGGTCCTCTCTGTGCGGACTTGGCCCTCCCAGCTCTCTCCTGAGCTCCTCTAACACAGGACCCTCTCCTAAATGAAATCCCATTTTGGCATCTGCTTCCCGAGGAGCCTAGACTAACACACACTGGAGACTGTTAACAGCAGATGCACAGGAAACTCTCCCTGCTGCCCTGTGACTCCGTGTCTGTGTCCAAGCACAATCCAAAGAGAGCCGTACACGTTCTTCCAAGGAGACAAATACGAATACAGACCAGCATGGTCATAATCCAGGGCTGTGTTAGGGCTGGGAAACAGGAAGTTTAGGAAAGAGTCACACAAAAAAATAGACAAGAATGGACAAAAACCAGTCAACACGCCACTGACATTCTCCATACTTGCACTTCCTGTCTGGACAGGAAGTCACCAGAGCAGTTCACTAATCCGTCATCAGGGGCAGCAGGTCCTGACACGCGGCAGAGCAGTTCACATGAGAGACTTCAAAAAGGTGCCTGGGCCACTCCGGGCTACTCCACCAGAATCCCGCGCGTGCCACAGGCAACGGCTGGTTTTAGAACATCTGGAAACTGTTTGTTCAACCAGAAAGACTGCACTGCTTCAAATCCCACCAAGGAATAGTGACGTGAACGTCCAGCCAGCCAGCTGAGTCCCTGAGCGCCTTCAGAAGAAGCCAGCCCTGTGGGTGATGCAAGCAGAGGCTGCCCAGGCCATCTCAGACATTCCATGGGAAATGGGTATGTCCCGGGCTGACCAGCGCGGGCCAATCAATCTCAGTCCATCAGACGCTGCACTCCGCTGGGACAAGAGCATGGTCACGCTCACGGAAAGGCGGACAACGAAACGCTCTAAGGCGTTAAGGCCTGCAACTGCACATTCCCTGACAGCGTGGCAAGGAATTAAGGAGCCTGATCAGCTGTTCTGCAGTCCCTACAGATAACTTTATCATTAGCTCCAACTGAAGATGTACTATAGATTTTGGAAATGTATAAATAAACCTCTGTTTGGAAATGTCTGAATCCTGGGATAAACAGACACTTATGGGAAAGAAAAATTACAGAGAAAGAAAGATTAGAAAAGCAAAAGCTATGCACACATTAAACAAAGGAAACTTCTGGCAGGCTCTTAGCCCCTCCTGGTACTGGGGCTCAAAACACTTGCAGAGAAAACTAAACATCACCAGTCATGGTTCGGCGATTCAGTGAAAGAGAAAAACATGTAAATACCAGGACTTCCAAAAGTGAAGAAAATTAACCCTACAGAAATGGGGATGAACACCATCAGTCCCCGTGTTGAGTTCATTCTAAACCAGCAACTAAAGGGCATCACTGACGATGCCGGGTGCCGACTGTACCAAACGGCTGCACAGGGACAATCTTCAGGAAGCATTCCTTCGATTCGTCTTCATTCCCTTCAGCTGCAAGTCCCATCCCCAGCAGCTAGCACAGATGGGAGCGGGGAAGGCGGCAAAGACAGCACTCAACTAAAGGAGACGACGCGGGGACTTCCGTAGTCTAAGGGGACAGAGGGTCGCAGGGGAAGGACACAGGCAGGAGGAGGCAGGCAGGCGAAATCTCCACTGGGACTGAAATGCGGACAGAGAGCGCACACGGGACGGTCCACACAGACAGCCCAGAGGCGCTGCAGCACGCCAGCCAGGTGGGCCTCGAGGGAAGAGCCTCTGACAGCATCGCCCCCACACCCACTGAGAGGTCTGGGAGCACTGGCCAGAGAGGACCGAGGCCCTGCTGACTCTCAAATGTCAGAGGGTTTCAGGCCAGGTAACAGCCAGCAAGACTGCCACCAACTGCCAAGCCGGAGCAAAGGGACTCTACACGAGGGCTGCACAATGCACTCACCAGACCAGAACCCAAATGGGCATCACACTCACGACACCTGTGAGAGCCGGAGCAGGGGTGTGCAAGGCAGGGAGCTCCGACTGAGCAGGAGAAAGGCCCCCAAGTCAGCCACTGGGGCCAGAAAAGCACCAGCCGCGGGGGACTTCCTCCTCACCCTTCTCCCAGATGGTACACACACCTCGAAAACCTACCCTGCTCAATATGCAACCTGTGTGTCCCTCACTGCAGCAGTGCACAGAACAGCAGGTGCTCATCTCAATATATTCAGGAAAACTCACTTGACATCCGGCATTGGCTCAGCACTGAAAGCAAAGCAGAACTTCACGTGGAAAAGAACAGAACCTCAGGTCATCAGACTGGTTCTAAACCCAGCCACAGACCTCAGCTCTAGTGTTTACCTGCCGGCTGGGGGTCCACGCCAGAGCATCACAGTCAGGTACGCAAATGCCAGAGACAAGTTAGGAAGCAAAACGGACAGGCCAGCAGGTCAGCATGGCTGGGTTCTCAAGCTTTGTATCAGTGCTGATCTCCCAACTACATAGATGCACTAGGCTTAGGGTAGCACACTGTACCCAAACACCGAGACTAAAGACTGATCTGAAACTAACATGAGTATTATGACAGAATGACAAGTGGAGTCTAAAAACTACCAGAGGTTTTACTCTTTGACAAACTATTAATCTAAAGGAAATTCATGATGGGGTAGAAACAAAAGTACACAATCTTACATACGTAGTGTATCCCAAAAATGAGAAAAAACAAAGAGACGCCATTAATCTCACTGACAATTTAGACTCTTACCTGGTTATGACCACACTATTGCAAAAACAAACTTAGATGCTGGTACTAGTAATTCGCTATTTATTGGAAAATTTCTACCTATCTCCATAATGGCCAACATGTTCATCTGGATCCTATACAAAGATAAAGAAACTAAGGTAAAACAGGGTTATTTATATAGGCATGGAAATAAAATTTTAAATGTTAAATCAAAAATTCTGATGAAATCTGTAAGTTTATCAAAAGTAAAGCTAAAGCGTCAGATTGGTAACACGATGATTTAATAACAGAGGCAGCCATATCCAAACTGAGACAGGGTAAGAGGGTGAACCATCATGACCCAAAGAATCTCAACTGCGTTCTGAATCCAAAGAGGGAGCACTAAGCAATAATGTGCACGATCTCCACTCCATGACTCAAAGCAAGCAGGACACTCCTCCTAATAACACTGTCCACGTGGAAGCTTTCTCCATGACACTAAGTAAAGAAAATATAGTGACCATGGCAAATCTGTCAAATCTAGGCTTTCCCAAGTAAGGCCATTTTAAAAGGTTTTACAAAGTGTCCCTTTCAACTACAAGTTTAAAAGAAGGAACTGCAGAAGAAAAGAAGGAAATTGTTCAAGGCACTCATGTAAATCCAACTCAAGACAACAGCCTGGAAAAGCGCCAATAGACTTTTCAAATTTACCTGGTAATGGCTAATGCTCACACAAAGTGTCATCAAATAGCCTGAAAGTATTAACATTCAGCCTGGAGAGAACTGCCAATTTTCTATTAAAAAATAAACACTGACGATGTTTTCAAGTAGCCCCGAGAGACTGCTGCACAAAAGCTAGGCAACTGGGCGTCAAACTCCGTGACAAAATTCTTAGTGCTTATTCCTTTGCAGTACTCCTCTATCAGAGAAGGGGACTGATCAAGCCTCAGGGCAGGCACTGTGCTGCACTGGGTTAAGGCGCCACTTGGATGCCTCCCTCCCTCCTCTGACAGCCAGTTCAAGTCCCAGATTCTGCTTCCAATCCAGCTTCCTGCTGATGCATCCCATGAGGCTCCTGTGCCCAGGCCCCTGCCACCCTGTGGGAAACCCAGGTGCAGTTCCAGGTAGCTGAATGGGAAAGTAACTGGCATCTTCCTTCCACCAAACTTGATGCAAAACTTGACATTGTGTCTGTGTCACCAACAAGTCGCTACTTCCATAACACATCAGAGTTGACAGGGCTGCCTGGATGCCCACCCAAAAACCCAGGAGAAAACAGACCTGATAAACAATGCCTTACAGGAAGTATGCATGAGCTGGCCTTGTATGTTTTATTTACTCGTGTAAAAGCCATGGTGAGAAGCAGCCCCGGCTCTCACCAAACTGCATTAGTAGTTCATGGCGGAAACAAACAAAAAAACCTTAAGAACCTATCTCAGAAAGAAACGAATGAAACGAGAACGCCGGGCATTTCACTGCCTTCCTAGCACCTCTTCGGTGAAGTCCTCCAAGTTCCCACGCTTTGCTCTTCTCTCTAATGAGGACTCCGCACCCCACGCATCCGCCGTAATGCACCGCCCACGACTCAGCCCCTTCCCACGCTACTCCACAGACTTGGAGCCACGGCCACCGCTGCTCCTTTCCAAACCTTACCCAGGAAGCTTTCCCTCGCATCTTTCTAAATCCTGGAACCGAACTTCAATAAAATCAGGGACTCTGCCCCAAAGCGTTGCCATCAGCGACAGAGGCTGCCCTGCGGACGGCCATCGCCCCCCGCCCCCGGGCAGGCACCCCCTGACCTCGGAGAGACGCTCTCCCAACCCCTGTCCCCGCTGCTGGCTCAGGCTCCCCTCGGTGGGCGTCATCCCGGACCCCCAGCCACCCAGTGCGAATCCCGCTGCCCCACCCCGGGGAGGTGCAGGGCCCCCGCGGCTTACCAGACCCCCGCACAGGCTGAAGACAGCCGTGAACTCGGCGCGCGCGTTCACCCGGCCGCGGTAGAAGCAGTGGCGCAGGTCTGGGGGCGCCGCGCCTCGCTCGTGCGCCCCGCGCGCGGGGGCTCCCAGGTGCACCTCGGTGTAGCCCGCGGCCAGGAAGGTGGCGTCGGCGCTCAGGTTCAGCTGGAAGAGCTGCCCGTAGGCGCTGATGCGGTAGAGGGTCAGGGCCGGCGTGGGCTCGGGCGCCCCGGGGCTGCGCCTTCTGCGGCTGAAGTGGCGGCTCTCGGGGAAGGCAGCTCCGAACTCGTCGACCCGCTCGGGGGTCACCACCTCGTAGGAGGTCAGCGTCTTCACCAGGGCTTCTGCAACCACACACACACACACACACACACACAGCGGCTGGGACCAGCACGACCGGGCGCGCCCCCTGCCCCGCACACGTGCGCGCAGCCCTCGCGCCCACGCGCGCCTGACAGCGTCCCAGGCGCGGGTGCGCCCTCCCCGGCGGCCTCGCGCCGAGCCGCTGCCCCCAGCTCCCGCTCTCGCCGGCCGGACGCTCACCTTGCCTGGGGTGCAAGCGAAGTTCCCAAGAGCGGGCGACCAGGAGTGAGAGCTGGTAGAGCAGCCCCGCGAGCCACTCGGCCGCCCGCATGGCTGCCACGGGAGGACCCCGCGCCCTCGCCTCGGCCGCGCGGCGGCTCAACAACGCCGGTAGCAGCCGCCCGCGCCCCGTGCCCGCCGGCCTCGCCGCTGCTCCCGCCCGCGCGCCCGGGGCCGCCGCCTCATCGCCCGGCCGCGCAGCCCGCTCGCCCGCTGTCTCGCCCGCCGCCGCCGCGGAGGCCTCCGCAGGTCCGCCCGGCGCGGGCAGCCGACTGGACCTGGCCGTGGCGAGGCCGCCGAGCCTAAGCGCCCGGGAGCGCGAGGAGAGCCCGCCCCCGGCTCGCCGGCCAATCAGCGAGGGGCGCGCCCCTCCCTCCGCCGCGCGCCGGCGACCCCCGGGCCCCTGGCGGACGCGCGGCGCTCGAGGCTGCGGGGCCGCCGGCGCGCCCTGGCCGGCGGGGCTGGGCTGGGGCCGCGCCTGGGGCCGCGCCTCGGGCCGCAGGGAGGACGTTTCCCATCCCCGAGGCGCGCAGCGGCGGGACGGGGCGCGGGGGTCCCCGGCACGCGGCCGACAGCGCAGGAGGAGAGCGCAGCTGGGTTCGCGCTGCGCGTCTGGTAGTGCCTTGGGGTTTACTTCTCCTTTCCAGGTCGTCATTTCTGGGGGAGCCCCGTGTGCACAAGAACACCCACGCTCTGAGCTTGATGAACGTCTCGGCCCCCGCCCGGGCGTCCCAGCTGCGGAGCGTTTGAGTCGGGCGCGAGGGACCGCGGGCGCCACGCGGAAGCCTCGGCGGCGCCCACCTGCGTGGCCAGGTGTGTGCTCGCGCGGGAGGCCGCGGCGGCCGTGGAGACGCCGCTCGCGCGGTCTCCGGATCCACCTGCTGCCTCGGCGGGGTCCCTGCGGCTCCTCGCTCTCTGGCCGTAAGGAACTCCAGCACGAGAGGGAAAGAAGACAAGGGGACGCAAAGGCTTGCGTGGGGGGCGTCTCCGTAGACACGGCCCGCCCGCGGGGATGCGCGTCCTCGGCCTGGGGCCCCTGCTCCGCGCCCCTTCTGGCCAGCGTGGCGGGCGGCTGCCGCACTCCCCCCCCCCCCCCGTGCCCCTTAGCACACCTGTCTCTGGCGGGTACCTTCACCCGGGACCGCTCAGGGCCACGTTCCCCGCCCAGCCGCTGAGTGCATCTTTGCGTCAGCAGCCCAGGAGCCACGGCTTCCCTCGCAGAGTAACGGGGATGGATGTGCACCTGCGGCTGCGGGCTGCACGGGCGTGTCCCTGCCTCCGCACGTGTTGGATCCCCGTGGAAGGATGCTTTGTTCGGAGCGGGAAGCTGCAGGAGATGCTGTTATGCCGTAGTCGCTGCAGTGAGCCCTGAACTCTACCCCTTCTCTCTGTCCTAGCCCATCAACGTTGCATTCACCCAAGAACCTAAGCTGTGTTGCCCCGTCTTTTCTGACTCCCGGAGTTTTCCCCTGCCCCAGACCGTAAATACTGCCACGTTCACAAGCTCTCCCTCTTCCGTACTGAAGGGAAGGTCGTGCAAGAACTAACCAGGACGTTCGAGTCCAGACGGCAGGCACTGCGCAGGGGGCTTCCGAACAAATGCTGCATTTACTTTGCCCACTGCACGACTGGGCTCAGCGGAACTGTGTTAATTCACTGTGGATCAACTTAAATGCACACATCGCGGGCTTCTGACTCCTTATTTAAAAAAAAAAAATAGCTCTTCAGAGCACGTCAGATTGACACCCAGTTTAGCTCCAAAAGTGAAAACCATACTTAGAGCCAATACAATCCTGCTTCATGTGTGATTCAGCCATCATCACAAATAGAAGCCATGCACCCCGACTGGCACGGTATGGGAGGAGGGGAACCCAGTCTTGCAAAGCAAGAAAACACTCAACTCAGGAGTTGGGTAGACCTTGAATTATGCCCTAAATCTATAACCAGCTGGGTGAGTTCACAATTTAACATAAGCCTGCCTTCTCTCAGCTGTAACATGGAGGTAACAGAAGCTCGTGCAGATGGTAAGGTGATTAAAAGAGATGATACAGCTCACATAGCTGGCTTGATTAGTACAGACAAAACGGTCTCCCTGTATGCTCACGCTGATTTTCATGATTTCTATCCTAGTACCAGACTAAAGATTCAAAAAGGAACAGCAATCCCAATGAGGCCTGCTTTGCAGCAGGCAGTAGGTGCGCTGGTGACCTCCAGTCTACCTGGGACTAGAGGTTTCCCTTAGGAAACTTCGGAATCTGGGCAAGTCAGGTTAAACTGGTCACCCTACTTCAGGGCTTATCAACCAAGGAATATTCACTTTCTGGGGATGAATCTTTATTATTCTGGCTGTGCACTGTGGCATATGAAGTAGCATCCCTGGCCTCCACCCCTCTTGTGACAACCGAGAATATTTCCACACTGGTTGAAGGAAGGGTTGCTGGAGGAAGTGTTGGGGCCGGGGGCACAGCAAAGGCACTGAGGTGGGTTGGGAGAAGACACCACACACACTGCTCCATTCTCAGTTACCAACCGCCGGCTGTTTAAAAGAAACTGTGTATTTTGGCAGGTGTGAAACCCCTCCGTGAATGTAATTGAAGCAGTGTGAGTTGTGACCCTGTGTTCATCATCTTAAAGCATCGTCAATGTTTTCTGGATGGGCAAAGGAGGCTCAAACCCTGCAGCCAAGCACTGCCCACACTGCATTAGTCATCCACTGTTTTTCTACATTCAGCACTAAATCGTTAGGGTCATGTGAGGAGGGACTCTATAAACAGGCATCTAAGCAGTTTCTCAACACATGGTGTGCACCCTGGGAAATAAAAATAAACATCATTGAACAAATAAATAATAATGGAATCCATATAACCAAGGGATAAGTAGGAAAATTACCCATCTTACTGTCTCTTTTTTTATTTTATTTTATATTTATTTATTTATTTATTTATTTATTTATTTATTTTGACAGGCAGAGTGGACAGTGAGAGAGAGACAAAGAGAAAGGTCTTCCTTTTGCCGTTGGTTCACCCTCCAACGGCTGCCACGGCCGGCGCACCGCGCTGATCTGATGGCAGGAGCCAGGTGCTTCTCCTGGTCTCCCATGGGGTGCAGGGCCCAAGGACTTGGGCCATCCTCCACTGCACTCCCTGGCCACAGCAGAGAGCTGGCCTGGAAGAGGGGCAACTGGTACAGAATCTGGCGCCCCAACCGGGACTAGAACCCAGTGTGCCGGCGCCACAAGGCGGAGGATTAGCCTAGTGAGCTGCGGTGCTGGCCCTGTCTCTGTCTTTTAATTGGAGTATTTATATCATTCACATTTAGTATAACTATTGAAATGATGACATTCAAGTCTATCATCTTGCTGTTTTTTATATGTTGTATCATTCTTTGTTCCCTGTTTTTCTCTTGTTCTGTCTTCTTTTGGATTAATTGTGTTTTATGATTGTCTTTCATTTCCTTTGTTAGCTATAACAAATTGTTCAAGTGGTTAATCTCGGATTCACAGAATACACTTTTAACGTACCCTACCCTACCTGCAAGTGATAGTATTGCCAATTTCAATTCTTCCCTCCCAGCCTTTGAATTGGCTGTCACGCATTTAACTGTTGTCATACATAGACAGTATTGCATTGTTGGCATTTTTACTCAATGGCTCCTTCCCTGTGGTGACATTTGCCTTACATTTAACATTTTTTGCAGTGTGACTCGTTAGTGATGAACCCTTCCAATCTTTGTATGATGTCTCTAGAAGTCTCCATTTCACATTTATTATTGGGTATGGAATTCTATATAGATATTTGTAGGGCTTTTTTTCTTTTGGTTCTTTATAGATGTTTGCTTACTGTCTTTTTGTGTCTTAGAAGATTTTTTTTCTGTTTATCTTATGCACTTGACCTTAGCCAAAAGGCAGAGAAGCGGTTGTATATCTAATGAACATTGGGCATTTTTGTTGTTGTTGTAGTTGCCTTTAAGACTTTCCATTACCAGTTTTGCGCAGTTTAATTGTAGCAAGACTTGGTGTGATTTTCTTCCTGGTCCCTGTTCAGTGGAGTTCATTGAGCTTTTTATAACTGTGATTTATTGTTTTCATTAAATTTGCTAAATTTGAGGCCTTTTTCTTTGAAAATATTTGTCCCCCTTTCTCCTGGGAGAGGACTCCCATGATTCATATTTGAGATGCATGAAGTCCCACAACACTCAGAAACTCTTGAAAAAAAATTCTTTCTTTTCATTCTGTGCTTAATTTGGATAATTTTATTGCTTTGTTCCTAAGCTCACTAATCTTTTCTTCTATTGTCTATTTCTTTTGTTGTCTAATGTGTATTCTGCCATTAATCCCATTCAGTGCCCCCTCATCTCACATACTGTAGTTTTTAATCTATGCAGCTTTCATTTGGGTCTTTTTTGTGTGTGTGCTTATGTACCCGTCCTGTCCCCTACTTAACTTTTTGAATCTATGGGAGTGAATTATAATAATTCTTTCTAGCAGATTTGTCAATTTGGCGTCAGCTTTGATTAATTAACTCTTGCCCCTCATTATTGGTAAACCATCCTGCTTCTAACTGGATGCAACACTTTCTAAATTTTGACTTTTGGGTGCTGGATATTTTTGTCTCCCTATAAATTTCTTGAGCTGTGTCATGGATGAAGTTACGTTGCTTAGAAACAGAGTCTTTCTGGTCTCACCTTTAAGATTTGTTTAGCAAGGGGCAGGCATTGTGGCACAGCAGGTTAAGCCACCCTTGGGGCAACTGCATCCCATATCAGAGTGCCTAGGTCAA